ACTTCTCCGCGCTCGGGCTGGAGCCGGGCCGCGACGTGGACCTAGGGCAGCTGGAGCAGGAGAGCTGCCTGGATGGCTGGGAGTTCAGCCAGGACGTCTTCCAGACCACCATCGTGACCGAGGTGCGTGGCAGCCCGTCTCGGGGTCGAGACTGGGATCTGGGAAGAGAGCACCCTCCTTGGGTGTCAGCCCCCCCTTGGACTCCCTGGCAATACTTAGGTCGGCGTCCTACCCCGCCCTGTCCTCTCGTTACCTAGCAACAGGTGTGCGGTCCTGCAGGCTCATTCCGAAGCTTTTCTGTGCAGTGTAGGGTGAATGCAGAAAGGAGCACTGTCACCAACTGCCTTTTCCTTTCCGAGTTTCATAACAGATGAAATTATTTCCTAAGAGCCTAGAGTCCCAGCCCAGGCTACGGAGATGTAAACAGCCTGAGTCACCTTCCTACCAGGGATGAAGAGGGGGAGTGGAGGACTCTGCTGAGCCCAAGTGCAGTCACAGAGAAGGGCTCCAGCCCGGAGGCCCAATTTCTCCAAGAGGGAGTCGATCCCCACCCCCACCTCGCCTCCTGCTGGTTGAGTGCAAGAAACCACAGGAGGCGGAACCCGGGCCCAGGCATTCGTGGAGAGACAGGCTCGCTTCTCTGAGCCTAGTGCCACTCGGGTGGGAGCCCCCACAGCACCCTCACTTGGTGGCAGGTCCCCTAAATTTCAGGCATCGGAACCACACTCTGCCACTGTGTTTTCTGGTGTGTATCTGATAACGATCACGCCCTGCTGCTGAGAAAGCGTCCTCACCAGCTGCTGGTCTTCCCTGCGGCTGATCAGGCAGGTAGGATTTCCCGCCTTTCGGCCCCTCCTCTGCTCTGTGTTCTTCCTAGAGATCTGCAAAACAGGGCTCTGCTGGTTACTTATCTCTCTCCTGCAGTGCAATGTGGCAGTCATCAGACCGTGCATCTGGTCTCATCCTGGGCCCTAGGGTGTAGACGTCTGGGGTTTGTCGTGTCCTCAGAGCTCAGACGCCCACGGGGCACAGTGGCTGTGTTACAGAGAAGTTAACATTGATCCGCCCAAATTCAAATAATGGCTTGAGCCCAAATTCAAATAATGACTTGCTTTCTGTGTGATCTGTGTGGGAAAAAATTACCCTCTCTGTGGAATAACAGGATAAAGAAACACTCCAAGAAGGAGTGGCAGAATGTGAGCTGACTCTGTCCATGTAAAGAACATGGAAGATTCTGGCAATGGAATTCCTACAGTTGAGGGTAGCTGGAGCTCAGAGGACAGAAAGCAGGCACGCATATAGGTCCAGTTCACAGGCATATTGAGGTGCTGACTTTATTCTGAGGACAGTGAAGAAACAGCAAGGTCAGATTTGTGTTCTGAAAAAGAGCTTGCTCTATCTGCTATGTAAAGCAAGAAGACTTGTGAGGAAGATCTAGAAGTCACCTGTGCAAAAGCATGGTGGTCAGCAGGGCTGCTGGCCGTGGAACCTGCAGGACTGGTGAAAAGCAGCTCAGGTTGTGAATCGCCTCTGGATACCTCCGTATTAGCTCTGTGTCTTCCCTCTGTCTTGTCTGTGTCTTCCTTGGGCCCTGAAGTGGCTATGTTCTCTGGCTTTGATTCCCTAGTAGAGTCTCCTAGTTGGTCCAACCCTGCCCACACTTGTAGCACTGGGGGGATCTAAGGCTGGAAGGCAGCTGATTCCACCTCAGTTCCTGACATGTCCTCAGCACCCGAGATGGAGGCTGGACCTGCTGGCTGCCATCTTCCCAGACAGCGGGGCTGACCACTCTGCTTTTGTTTTCCTCACTGGCTTTGTTCACCTCAGGATGTGAAGAGCCAGTGGCTACTGGCCTCCAAGTCCCTATTCACAGGGGCCTGTGGGCCCCTCTAGGAATGGACATCCCATACTCCCACGTGTGCACCAGGATCTGCTCTTCTGTGTGTTTTGGCACTGGGGGTGATGGGGTCCAGGACAGTTTCCTAGGTTCTTGTGCAAAAGGAATGAAGACCTGAATGTGGTGTGTGAGGGTAAGAAAACCAGGGAAGTTCGTTAAGGCAATAGCGCACTCTGAGTGAGCGGGCTCATGCCAGTGAAAGCAGGGCAGCATGAGCCCAGAGGGCATATGGTATAGGGGTAAAGTTGGAGTCTTTCAGAGCAGGATTGACAGGATGCTGAGTCAGGTCAGCTGTGTCTGTTGTTCTGTGATTCACTCTGTTATCACTGGACAGCCAAGATGCAGTTCATATGCAGGGATTCAGTGAGCTCCAGGTGAAAAAAGGTTACTGTGGGTCATGCAGGCGGATCTGGTGCCCATGAGTCATGGTTTGAGATTTTGGAGTTTTCTGGGACAGGATGGTAGCATCTTTGTTTTTCTTATCTCTGCCTCCTTGTAGTAAGCCTTTGCACAAAGGTAGGGGGTTTGCTCTGGGGCATTGCCCGGGTACAGGTGGATGGAGGGGGTTGGCGCCATACCGCCTAGTTGTAGTATCTATATTAGTCATATTTTTGCCCCCCCAAGTATATATCCAGAAAAGAAAAACGTATAAATATTTTAATACTAAATTTATTGAGACATCATGAGGTGAATACCAGTTACCTTTGGCCTCTACAATTACAAGAGGTACAGAAAGTGCTGACCATCACCTTGCAGATATTCTTTAGTACAGCAAACTGCTGCTTGGGTAACCTTGGTCGCTGAGATTGCTGCACATGCATTCTCAGTTTCATCTCCAAGGGCCGGAAGTGTGGTGGGTTTTCTGTGATATCTGACATCCTTTAGGGTCCCCCCATATGAGGATAACACCATCTGTTGAAAAAAAATCTTACTATTATTTTTCTTTTCCTGAAGTGTGTATATATTTTTGGCACACTCTCTCTCTCCATCTCTCTCTATATCTATCTATCTATGTATCTATCTCTATATATATGCATTCAATTTTAAAAGAAGCAAACTCTTACACACTACAACATGGATAAACCTCAAGGACATTGTGCTTAGTAAAATAAGCTAGTCACAGGGGTCAAATGTGTGATTTCACTTAGGCAAGTTAGGAAGAGGAGTCACTCAGAAACAGCAAGTAATAATGCTTACCGGGGGCTGAAGGAAGGGAGGCACGGGGCGCCGTTGTTTAATGGGTATCTAGTTTCCAGACTGGAAGATGAACACAGTTCTGGAGATTGATTCCACAGCCATGGTTAAGACAGCGTAGATGGCATATTTTATATTATGTGCATTTTATCACAGTTTTTAAAACTAAGGGTCATAACGGTGCCCATCTCACCTGTGTCGTTGGGAGGACTCAGGGAGCCCGTGCCCCTGTGGAGGCTGGGTCTCATGGTAACCAGCACAGCGCCCGGCACCAGTACATGGGTGCTGTCAGTGGTGGTGAGCCGTGGTGAGGGTAGGACCGGTCACCTCTTGCCTGCTTTCCTAAGGCCCGTGTTCATCTGGTGTGACACGTGCCTGGACTTGTGGGAGGCTGAGCCCTTTTCCCCCAAAGAGTCATTTCCCCACCAAGAACAGGACAGAGGTCCAAACTTATGCTGACTTGGCTAGTGCCAGTGGAAAAAAATATCCTAACCCCCCTCCACAGGGTGACGCCCACAGTCCCTGACAGGTCTCTACACCCTGGCTGTCCTCCGATGTGTCTCTGCTCCACCACCCCCTATGCCAGGATGTCCCAGTGGGCATAAACTTGCAGGAGGACCTGGCCCTGACACCCCTTACCACAGGAGGACAATCAGCCAGGAACCAAGGATGGCATGTTCTTCCCCAGAGATGCCTTCCGAATGGCAGGAGGCAGGCATCTGGCCTCTGAATTGACTCACATGAGTGTATCTGTCTACGTGTGTATACACATGTACATAGGTAGTTTCTTCCCTTAATGGCTATTTGTGAAATCTAATTCATTTATCCTGTGAAGGTAGTAAGAATCAAATTTTTAAACTTTATTTCAAAATAATTTTTTGGTATATAGCTTTTTGAAACAGTCTCACCATGGAGTCCAACTTGGCCTCGAACTCGCTGTGTAGCCCATGCTGGCCTTGAACTCCTGCTGTAGCCTCCCACATGCTGGGATTGTAGGCCTATGTCACCATTCCCAGCCTTGATGATGAGTTCCAAAAAAGTTATGAAAATAATGTGGAGACTTCACATATACCCTTCACCCAGCTTCCCCTGCTGTTAGTAACTTAAGTTGCCCATAACACATTCACTAAACTAGAAAATTAACAATGGTTACAATAGCATGAAACTCATTTTCCCACTTTCTCTGTTTTAGGGTCCAATCTAGAAGCCCACACTATACTTAACTGTCATGTTCCAGTCCCCAATCTGTGATAGTTCCCTAGTCTTGCCTTATCTTTCACGAGCTCAACATATTGCATGAGCTCTCTTGATGAATGTCTCTTAATTTGGGTTTATGTGACTTTTTTTTAGATCAAGTTATGTTCTTTTTGGTAATAATGCCATAGAAGTGATGGGTTCTCAGGGCATCGTACCAGCAAGCACACGACGTCCCTGTATCTTAGTTATTAGTGCTGCTAACCTCGGTCACATGGTTACATTGACATCCGCCAGATCTCTCCACTGTAAGTTAGTGCTTTTCCTTTCATAGCTGGTAAATAGCTTGTGGAGACACTTTGAGATAAGACCAAATCTTGTGTCTCCTTAATTTTTACCCACTGATTTTTAACACCCATCTCTAGACCTGGATGGAGACTGTTATTCCTGTGGTGTTTGTCTAGTTGTGGTTTGGAGCTATTCTGGAAAGAAGAGCTTTCCTACCACACTCATTTATTGTTTATATATTATTAATTTATATCAGTACAAGCTCTTGCACATTTCTTTTATTCCATCACTTATCATCTAATACTTAGTTATTTTGTTGCTCCGACTGTCCCAGCTTGAACTAAATTATCTTTCACTTTAAGGAAAATGAATGTAGAAATGCAGGGTAAAGTCCTTCGGCTGTCTCTGGAGTCACGGGTGGAAGAGTCTGTGTTCACCACGGCGGGGAGAGTGCCAGCGAGACCTGGTAGCGAAGTTAGCTACAGAGTTGCGGCTGGGCAGGAACAGGGGGAGGGGCAGGTGGGATCTCAGAAGGTTCTGTTGAGGAAG